AATAAAGCAATCTGCATATTTTAAGGTGGTTTGATTTGCTTCCCTAATTTAGTTGCGTTTGAAAAGTTTGCGAGAGGCAATGAATATTCTTTGCTTTGCTCCTCTGTTGTTTTATCGAGGTTTTCGAAATACCCCATAAATTCAGGTCATTTCGGACTATTCATCATGGGAGAGATAGGTAACTATAATTGATCAGGGACTTAGACTGAGCTTGGATACAATATTATCTGCGTCTTCCATCCGTTGCAATAAACATGAATGACCACCAAGATAAATGACAATGAAAATCACAGTGTGTCCAATAAAAACAACGGTGAAAGTTGAGCATGTAATCATTACTTGAATAATTAATGTTTCTTTATTAACAAAAAACTTTCAAGAACGATTTCAGCGTCTTTTCAATCTCTACAAACCAAATTGACCAAAATGATCCCTAACATTTTTGTGACCAGAATTTTTTTCTGTGGTTGAAAATATTCTGTCATGTTATGTCATCGTTCTTACTTTCGCAGGACTCGACCTAACTACTGGGCTTCGGCTAAGAAATTTTTACTTGAAAGTAATTATATAAGCTTACTTTGTTAGCAGCAAAACAGAATATTAGCTGGACATAGTAAGAAATACGTAGATGCTGAGCTTGATATTTACTTAAGTATTGATTTTGCCAGGCCCTTTCAACAACAATATCAAACTGGTGTAGGAAAGGAAAGGAAAGGAAAGGAAAGAAAAGAAAAGAAAAGAAAAGAAAAGAAAAGAAAAGAAACAGAGTTGGATAATTATAAATTTCAGGTCACCCATCCAACTACTAATCTCGCTCAAACGTGCATTACTCATTGTTTTAGAATCCCAACTTTTTTCCACTGATCCACGATTTCAAGAAATTAGCACAACAATAGCCATGAAAACAATGCACCTGATTGACTAGATTATTTTCCACTTCTAATCGACGTGCCAGTGCGTGGCAGAGTGCAAGGGATTAGCTGTAGATATGGTCTTGGGGCCGGCTAGCCTCTCCCCTGATGCTTGGGCTAGAACACTATCCTGCGTAATCCGTACGCCCAAGGGCAGAGGATCTTAATCGCCGTCATGTCCGAAGTCCATACGATGACCCAGCGGATGCCTCAGGGTATGGCATGAAGGCACTAGTACGTTGTTTTCTTCTGAACGCATTTTGGAATTTATTTATTATTTAAAGTTTGTGGACGTGGGTTCGATTCCCACCGTATTAAGAGTACTTTTTTTCTTCCTTTTTCTATTTTTTCTTCTCATTTCTAGTCTTAGATAAATATCATATCTTATTTATTTACTATTTTTTGTAAACGACTTTTATTCATTCAAGCCCAAAGCATTCTTTTTCTAGAAAAGGTATCTGCTTTTTTGTTCTTTTTTTGTTATTGCTTACATCATATCCAGGATTAACAGTTAACCCATCGAATTAATATTTCAGTTTGAATATGTCACTTCTGTCCTTCTTTACATACGTCCTTGTACACACCACAGAGTTCACGTTCCCGGTTGATTTCACAGCAAAACTAGGAAAAGTTGACCACTTGAGTTGAGCAAACGTGCAACAGAGCACGAGTCTTTTCTTTTCTTTTCTTTTCTTTTCTTTTCTTTTCTTTTCTTTTCTTTTCTTGCTTTGCTGTTGTCGGCTATATTCACAACGACCCATCAGCGCAACGGTGAAATTTCGAGGAATATGGTTGTTTGTGTGGTACTGACTAAAAATAGCTCACTCCCGAAACACAGCAGGCTCCATCATGATACGAGATGGACTTTTCAAGTTATGGACTTTTGCCAATAAACACTTTACCTTTGGCGAATCATTGTCAAAAATAATAAATGTCCTATTGATAAAAGAAACCACCTATAAGTCAGGTCACAATCTTTGATTCCTCAAGTTACATTTAGATACAACTTCCTGTTTTGGTGAAACTATCACAGGATCGATCAATTTTGTGCAACAGCCGAATTAGTCAGTCGCTGTTATTGTCCGCTGTCTTCATCAGCCATCATAAATATTATTGTACTGATCAGTAACAGCTGTTGTTCAGTCATGAAGCAAGGCAGCAGCTCAGTGTTGTCTGGTACTAGTTTGCTGATATCCCTGATATGTTTGGCTGGTGTTCTGCATGTGGAGTACAGACTCTACGAACAGACCCACAAATCGGAAAAAACAGCTGCTTATATCCAAGATACTGAGACAAGGCAACTATTCCACAGAGATCATGGCGAGAGAACTGGAAAGACAAACAGCAAGGTCAGTCTAGCAAAACAAGGACCAAGAGAGATATCAAAACTAGATCAGATTAAAACAAATATAAATGCCTTTTGATTAAGTACGGAGAGAGAAGTACTGACTATAGTGGACATCTATCGGCCACACTACACAAAAAATACAGACACTATGATAGCATCTTTTTCCTTATTCATATTTCATCTCCGATATGTGAGCCACTAGATTATGTCTGGGGTTCACTAAGTTAGCTGAGCATCTTTGGACGACTGTCTTTTTATTCGCATGTCGTTAATTAATATGAGGTGAAACCCAAAATTAAGAGGAAAAAACCGAATGCTATTACATTTTATCGATACCTTGGGAACATTTTCCAGGCTAATCACAGAACAAGGGTAACTCACGGATCGAGTTGAAATTTAGCTTATTAGGTTTTGCGGGTAGAGTATTGGGTTTTGCATTGCGGATGAAGGAAATTTAAACCCCAGAGGAAAGATCCAACAAACTCTACTCACATTGCGTCCTGAGTATGGGAATGGAGCCCAAGACCAAAAGGTGAAAGACGAAAGCACTACAGAATGTTGCCAAGAATCGTCCCGGTACCATTATGGTGCCAACAGAATACTAAGCTCAAATTTTAAGACCAGTAATTATAATTTCCGAAAATCAAAGATTACCAAAAGAAAGCTGAACATATATTACAGCTTCCAAATGCAATTAAATGTATATTTTGCTGGCCTGCTTCGTGAGGTTGCTGACGAAGCGCTATAATTGTAGAGTGAGTGGAGTTATAACTGGTAACTGAATTCACGAGTTTTATTGCGCAGGTAATAATTAGATACTTGACAATGAGGTCTCAAAATCCTTTACTAAAAAAAATTCTCAAAATCTAGATTGAAGAAATAAATAAACAGCTAATATAAATAGTAAATGTGACACACAAATGTGCCAGTGTTTGGCAAGTGTTATATTTTAAAGAATATAATATCTAGTCTTAATTTTGAAGTGCCCAGCCATTGCCAATAGACCTATCCCGAAGTGCAAGATCTCGACCGTAAGCTTCACAATGAAGCGCCAGATAATGTAGGTAATATATATTTCATATGTATTCTCTTACGCATAATGTTGTAAGCCATTTCCCAGATGGCAGTAGTTTTCTCAGTAGGGAAACATCTAAAACAACAAGCCACAAATTAAATCACAAAATGGCCAGCAGAGAGAGTTTTGTAACTAAAACTAACTAACCTCGTGGTAATTCATGCGGCCCATTATCCTGTCAGTTGATATGACAGCGTCAATCATGCATAAACAACGTGTTGTCATGGTGTCGAAGCCTGAACCAATCAAGATCCCCGTTGACCGAGGCCGTAATGCATACTGGGTACTAGTCCATTTTGTCGCGGACAAAAAAACAACAACAAAAAAACAAAGCATTTTATGCCTGGGCTACCACAGGTATCCTAGTAAAATCAATGTTGGGAATGAATTATGAGTACACACGCTGCAATTAAGATTACAGATTTCCCATCGTGCTTGGCCATTAAACGATSGAAAGAATTTATCCATGTTCCTAAGACTAAATCGTAAAAACAAGTTCAAAAGTTAGTGGTAAGTGACGAGGGAATACCACTGCCCGTTGAATTTCTTGAAAACCGATATCGCACGAATCGAGAAGCCATGAGTGCAATATCGATTTTCGAGTGAAATTCTGTGGAATTCCCGGGTCAGACGCAATGAATCTTTCTTGAATCCCATGGCAAAAAGATAAACAAGACCCTGTGCTCAGGTTGCGGTGGGATACCTGGTAAAATTGGGCCTGGTTATGAAATATAGGCATGACATTGAAATATGTGATTTGATTGCTGGAAAGGTTGCACATCTAGAGAAGTAATGTTAGACATTTACACTTTTGGGGTCTCTGTGTTGTGTTTGACTTATTGATGTTTTTGATGAAATAAATAAGAGGGCGTTTTGAGTTGAGTTGATCAGCAATGCGCAGTGAAACTATGCAGAAGTTATTTGTGAACAATCTCTCAGAAAGAAAAATAAAAACAATAAACTTTACTCATCAAGGTCATCGAACGATCGACTCAATCTGGAACTCCAATTCCAGTTCCGGTCCGAATTTTGGCATACGTAATTAGGTTTCATGAACGTGCACATTAGCACGAAAATTGTATAGCTCGCTTTTAAAATCAAAATGCTTCATTTAAAACGTAAATACAGACTAATATTTGCTCAAAACCTCTCTCATAATTGATTTACATTTTATAATTTTATAATTTATCGATATTTTTAATGAATCGCCATCTTTTTGAAGAAAAAATAAGGAGATCATAACGCTTCGAACGGCAAAGGTCAAACACTGGAATGTGCGTAGCAAGTTATTTATTTATTTATTTTGCTTAAAATAAATATTGCTATGTATACCACAGGTTAAAGTTAAGTTAAGGTGGGTTCCCTGATTTTTCATGCCATTCCAAGTGAAATACCCGCTTGTATACGTCATACCTAGCCAATCAGCGCGCGCATTTCAAATGAGCAATGGGATTCTATGATAAATTTGAAGATTTCATCAAAACTGTTTTTATAGTATATCAACGAGTTAAATTTGTTTTCCTGCGAATAAAAATCAGGATGGTGGTGGTTAATATACAGTCGAAGATATAGTCATTACGAACTGAAGTGGAACGATACTGGGCAACATACTGTAGCGCTATGCTACCCTTGATTCCTTTATTACCRTGATATAATTGATATAAACATGGTTGCAGATCCCCTCTTCAGGACTCGCCGTAGCAACACTAACGTCAACAGCTCCTTGCTGTCTATGAGTATCTTTGATTTTCGACGTGAAATCAGCAAAGAATTGAAAGATACTTTAATGCTGAGGTCTGCTTAAGAATTAAGAGAATGTGTCTACGACGACCTAAAGGAAGTATGCGACGAAGAGGAAGACAAGGGCCTAAAGGAAACCTTGGCAAGAAGGGTCCCAAGGGAGAACAAGGAGAACAGGGACTTCGAGGTCCACAAGGCCTTAAAGGAAAACAGGGGCAACCAGGGCCAAGCAGAGAAAAGAGAAAGGGGGGAAGCAGTGCATTCTGTATCCGCCCCAACAATCACAGAGCCACCAAAGCGTCTTGTAGTCAATAAGAAGAGTGACACCGCCTCGTTTCAATGCGTCGTTAAGGGCAATCCAAAACCTAAAATCACGTGGTCGAGAACAAATAATTCACTTCCTGCTGGACGGCACGAAGTGAACAAAAGTGGATTTCTGTTAATCAAACAAGTGACGTCAAACGACAGCGGAATCTACATTTGCACAGCGATAAGTTCTCTTGGCAAAGCACAAGCACAGGCTGAACTAGTCGTACGAGGTCAGTAGCAATTCTTTAAATACAATTATTTTCTAGATTCTCATTTTCAGGTCAGTTGAATTTTGCGAAGAAAATTAGGAAAATAATAGAAACTTAAACGGCTTATACCAATAACAGACACCTATAGCATGAGCCAACTATTGCAATTAATTTTGCGACGGTTTTTTTTTTTTTTTTTCACGATTTTTGGAAAACATTTGCCCATACATTTGGAATATTTGCTCTTTTCGGTCTTTTTCCTCTCTTTCCAAAGCAAAAGGTTGTTCTTAAAAGTAAAGTCATATAGCGCAAGTAAACTGCGTTACAAAACATCCCAAATGACCCGTAAATCTTCTGTTCTTTCATTAACTAGTAGTTAGCGTGTTTTCGAGGGTACGAAACCTAAGAAACCATAAGAGGCGAATGTATAGGCCAACAGATAGTATGAGCTTATAAAATCAGCAAAAATACGGTTCTAAATTTTAACAAATTCCTATGCATTATATACCAAAATGTTCAAAATCCACTTCTGTTTTTTTGGCAGGTTCTGTTTTATTTCAAGGAGAGACGATTTTCTAGCTTGACTCCGGTTATGTCATGCATTTTCTCTTGTAAAATACGTCCAATAGCGTACATTCAACTCAAAAAGTACGGTGTTTTTTCAATAGAATTCAATCTTAACCATATAATACAATCCGTGAATAGTTGAATTAACTGAATCCGCTTCTGTTTTTTGCCTAGATAGTCATTATTTTGAGAAAAGATCCAAAAACCGTGTTTTGAGACATAATTTGTATGGGCTCGCATGAGCGGGCGTGAGCTTGAAATCGTAGCTGACCAAATGTTAACAGATTTTTTCTGATGTTTACTTTGGTTGTCTTTCATTCAAATCCAAATTTTGGAGATTTCCCGAACGTTTTAAGGACAAATCAACACTCGTCCATAAAACAGAAGTAGTTAAAATAAGTTGAGCAAAATATAAGCTCACTAATACTCACTAATACATATAATTTTTTTGAGTTTCAGCCCGTTTCCATCCACCTATCCATCCGTCCATCCGTCCATCCATCCATTCCTTAAATTACGTTTTTATATCCATCGTTTTTTTAGATTTTTGTTTCTTTGTTGAACTTTTACATTTCTCTTAAATTTGTTGCAGATCCATGTGCTGCCTTCAAATGCAGTAAGCCTTATTCGACATGCGAAAACCAGAATGGCAAAGCTGTGTGCGTGTGTTCCAAAGTTCCTTGTCCAAGGTCCGGGCAACCGTTTTGTGCTAGCGATGGTAAGACGTATAACAGCCAATGCGCCATGAGGAAAGCGACTTGTGAAAGTAACACCAACATTCGTTCCGTCAAGAGAGGACAATGCGGTGAGTATGCACCAGGGAACGACAATCAACTGAAACATTCATAATCACTTCAAACTAAAGGTAGGATGACCCTACTGCTAGGGCAAACTCTTTTGTTTCTGGTGTCTTCCGAAAAGGTAAAAAGAGCCCAACACCAAGGTCACCCTACCTTTATGTAAAAAGGCCCTTAGCTTGAAACCAATAACTATTTAAAAAAAGGCTGTTTGACTTGTTATGGTTTTTGTAAGTACATCTCTACCCTCGTTTTGCTAGCACGTTTTTTCTTTTTATGGTCTTTTTAATTCATTTTGCTTTTTAATCTGCCAAAAGATTGTAAGGTCATAGCCGATGTGGCATTCCTTGTTGATTCATCGGGAAGCGTTGGAAGAAGAAACTGGGTGCGCCTCCTTGCATTCGTCTCAACCATAATCAGCAAACTTAACGTTGGACCAAGCGCTACTCACATTGCCTTGGTGAGATACAGTACCCAGGCTGAAGTGGACTTCACTTTCCGATCAATATCAGGATCCCGTGTTACTCCTGCTACCTACAACCAAATTGTCAAAAAWTTGAGATGGCAGAGAGGGTTTACATTCATCGATAGAGCATTGATTACGGCGGACCAACAAGTGTTTACTGCAGCAGCTGGAATGAGGCGTAATGTTTCTAAGGTAATGCTCTTCTGTGCTCTTACAGTAGATTTTGTATGAATAGGAAACGGCACGGTACCGTTGCGGTACGGGGTTGATGTCATCTTTTGAACCAATTTCGGCGAACGGAGATCACAGGACACAGCACGGCATGTCCTTACTGGGAGATACCACAGCCACACAAGTAGTCATAGTTTTTCTATTGAAAAAAGCAACCCTTGTTTGGTCTAAGCTGTTCTCCGTCGGTGGTCAGACATGAGTCGTAAGGCGGCTGCCAGCAGCGCCTTTCTATACCTTCGACTCGACAACGTTGAGCTGCGTCCTTCGCAATTCAGATATCAGCTACGAGAATGGATGATTGGACATTCCAATAAAAAAGTATTGGGAGTATCGGTAAAAGGAACCAATAAGATAATTCTTTTAAGGATTAACATAACCAGCATAATTAACAGAATCAACATGATGAACATGATGAACATGATGAACATGATGAACATGATGAACATGATGAAC